AAAGAGTTTGGGGATTTTCCCCTCACATACACTGGGGAACAGAGAAGCCCTCCAAACCCCTAGATTTTCAAGTATGAGGTTAAAATTAAAATAAAATTTTGAAATCTTGTGATTTTTTTAATTGATGTACCTAACTAAAATGTTAAGTATAAACTAAATGTATAAGTACAAAATCATACTTATAAATCATTCTTAGAAATTTAAACAGTAAAAAAACATTAGTTTTTCCTCTCATGGATGTGAAAATACTCTATTTGTGTTAAGAGCACATCTCCTTAAGCAGTTTATATTTTTTAATTGTATATTTTTTTCATTTTAATGTTTTTCCCTTTTACTCAATGCTTTCGGATTGAGGTCCCTAAACTAAAGTTGCTAGCAAAGAGTAAAGGAAAATCTCTATACTTGCTTGGCTCAAATGCTATCTTCTCCAAAAAATTGCCTGTTTAATTCAGTTCAGGAGAGATGTAATCTGTGAACCAGGTATTCAAAACTGGTAGACTATAGGAAAAATATGCAGGCCTGGTTTTTTTGGTTTTATTATTATATATATTTTTAAATATCACATGAAAACATCCAGATGGCTGGTATCCCCTGAAACATCAGCTTGAGTCACATTGGGCTTATATTTATTTGCATGATACAAATTTGCTATATCAGTGTATTAAACTTCTTCTTCAGGCAATGTATTCTTGGTAATGGACTCTCCAGTTTTTGTTTTTAAGAATATTTGATTTTACAGATAAATTAAATGATTACATATCATATATGTAAGTAAGCAAGAAGTTTCCTTTTTATTTATTTTTTTAAATAGTGATTTATGATTTTAAATAGTAGATTTATGCTACTCCTCTTTTTACCAGTGACCTTTCCTGCCAGCTTGGTTATGTTTTAAATGAGTCACCACATCTGGGTTTACTATTTTGGGTCAGGGTCACATATTTTTATGATTTTTATTATTTTTGAATCCTTCCTTGTATATATCAAAACATACAGAAAATGACATTTTTTTTCCATTCATTAATGCAAAGAACAGTTTTTAATTATTTATTACAGCTTTGGAGTTGTTATAAATACTTGGTATGATACTTTGTATTCATCAATGCTCTCTGAGGGAAGGCTACTAAGATTATATCTAACACCCCTTCCTTCGTGAAAGTCTGGCTCTTGGGAGGGAGAGGGTAAGAGGCACATGCCGACCCTTTGCTGTGAAGGCGGTACACACAGAAGCACATCAAAGGTCCTTTCTGGTGGGCACGGTATTAGAAAGCCTTCCCAGCCAAAAGTCATGGGCAGAAAACTAGCTGTTCGAGGAGCCATAGCAGATGGTCAAAATGGTTCTCACATCAGCAGGTGGATACGAGAAACAGAAGGGGAAATACTCTTAGTCATGACTGAATAAACTTTGAGTGTCCTCTGGACTTCCTTGGTGTTCTCTGAAAGATACTTGCATGATGATGAGTCACCCTCCCAAGATACAACACCATTTGAGATTCTTTAAGAATTTGCTTTATCTTTAAGTTGTTCCTATGAAGCAAAGCTATAAAGTGGATTTGCAATCAGATTTATGCTACTCTTCTGTAATCTTTTTGCTCTTGGGAGTTCCTCAATTAATATTTTAACATTTTAATAAGTCTAAAATTAGGAGTGTGCTTCAAAGAGGAAAGCCCAGTTTTGAAAGGAACATATTATTATATTCTTGAGGTAGTCCTTTTGGTTATGTTTTAGTGGTAACGGTATAAGAACTAAAATGAGGCAGATCTGGGTTTAAATCCTGCTCTGCTACTTCCAATTTGTGTGACCTTAAGTAAATTTCTTACCCTCTCTGAGCTTCTTCCGTGCTTATAAGGCTTTTTTTTTTTTGAAAGATTTATTTATGCATACAAGAACTGGGGTACAGGCCAGAGGTTCGGGGACTGAGAGGATCCATCAGAGACAGAGTGGGGAACAGAACAGGCAGAATGACTGAAATACACTGCTGACAGGAGCAGTGGGCAAGCCAGGAGAGGTCTGCTGCGCCATGTGGGCAGCTCCTGGCCAGGGATCGAACCCCGCGCTGCAGGGACTGTGGACAGCCTCACAGGCTGCATCTCAAGCCCCTGTGCCACTAGGGAGGCCCCCTGCTTATAAGGCTTTTGTTAAATAAAGTGAGAAAATGGTTTAAAAATAGGTTAATGTTGATTACAAAATTTCATGATATTATGTAATCCCAAACAGTCCTGTGATTTAGATTTTACAGCAGGCAAAATTGATGTCCAACACCTCATAGTAAGTGCTAAATTAGGACTTGAGCCCAGGCAGACTCAACACCCCCCTTGTTTCTGGGATGGGCTTCCCTGTGTACCTCAAACCGTGGTGTCCATCCCTGGCCTCAGTAAATGCCCAGTAAATGGTGGCTGTAGTTGTCAGCATGTATTTTCTCATAATCTGAGGGGGGCTCTCTGGCTAGAATTTCGAATCCGTTCTTCATTCTTTGAGACATAGAAACTTTGTAAATTTTGTTGTAAATTTGTTAAATTCCCAGTATTAATTTTCCCCTTTCCTTCAAACCACAGGTGCAACTGCCAAAAGAACTAGAATGAGAGGCAACAGACTAATCTAGAAGAACAAGAAATTGAAATTATGACTGCTTTAGCACTTCAAGACAACTTCAGCAGCATTATTTGTGATTTCTGGTGGCAGAACTGGGACAAAGTTGACATCTGATGGGGGCATTTTGTACAAGATGGGATGCTTGACCTATGACAAAATAGGAACTGAAGAGGAAAGGGGATAGAAGTAAAATATTAATACCAGGGGCAACATTTTCTACGTCTAATAAGCTTGAGTGGCTTAGGTGACATTAAGAATACTGCTTCAAGCAACAGGAATTATAAAATATTGCTTTACTGTTTATCTTCTAAATAATGATAAACACTATAAAGGTGTCAACTATTAATTCCTCCCCCCTTTTTTGTCCTTCCACTTTCCCCGCTGTAATTCATCACAGTGTCTTATAATTAAAAAAAAAAATAATGTTTCATTCTGCAGATATGTGAAGTGGGAATTGAACCCCAGGACTTTCTGATGCTTTGAAATTGAAGAAATGTAAGCTCTTTCCTGGAGAATCAATTGAGATTTCCTTTTGAACCCTGCCTGGCTTTCTCTCGGCCATCCCCCCAGTGTTTTGGGGTAAACTTGTAGGGCATCTCTGAAAAATAGAATGCGTAAGCCATTGGGCTTGGAAAATTAGTTTCCAAAAAATGGCACACAGAATAAAACCCGGCATATATAGTAAATCTTCTATTTCTGTATGTGTTGGGACAAGGCTCTTTTTAGAAAAATTTTATATATTGAGAAGCTATTGGTTTTAACTACTTTTGTTTGTAAGTCTGAATTTAATCTTGTGCCTTTCCTCAAAAATCTAAAGAAAACTTGCTACAGAAGTAAACTTAAATCCTTTTCTTCTCATTCAAGATCCTCCACACTTAGTTCCATTTTACTAATCAATGTTTATTTACCACAAATCATTTATAGTTCTCTTGATAAAACAGCCTCATGTACACCCCATGCCTTTGTGCTCACTGACCCTTCTGTTGGCACCCCCAGAGACTTCCCTCCTGCTGTTTACAGAAGTCCTGCCCCATCTTCAAATCCAGGTCAAGTCCTAATCCTCCACAGAAAGCTCCCAGACAACTCCAAGCTAGTGTCCTTTCCTCCTTCCAGGTATACCGAGAGTCCTTAGTTACCTGGGCTAGTCACTGGGCGCACAGAATTTGAAATTTTATAGAGAAATGGCATGAATACTAGAAATTAGGAGATCCTGATTTGGTTGCCTCTCTTCTTTACCTGAGTAATCGATGCCTGCCTTGTTTTTCCTTTTAGATAATCCCATGTGGCTCATAGCACAACAGGCTGGAAGAAAAAATGGGTCTCATGGGGACAAACCTAGAACAATACATTTTTTGGAAGGACAAGCCATGGGAAAGAAATATGGTTTTTCTATTTTTAAAGATAATTTAGTGTGTATAAAAGTACTCAAATTTATAGTTTTTAAACAAGTAACTAACATTAGAATAGTCAATGCCTGAATTTTGCTTTCTCCTCCTTTACTATTTCTATAAAATGTATACAAAGCAGGATAGTTGAGAAAGGGTTGCAATAAATAAAACTTTTTAAAAGTTTAGTATACTCTATATCTATATCTAAGAGGCTAAGCTCTGAAAGGATAAAAACACACTATACATGCTTAAAAGCTTGTGTGTATTAATAGTTGAAATTTTGGAAAACCCTTACTTAACAGTCACACTGTTAAAAGTCAGCAATCTCAAGAAGTCCAGAAAGAGAACTTTAATCTTATAAGTGCAAAAAGAATTATACAAACCCATAACTTATTGCCTCAATTCCCTGCTGTCCAAAAGTAGAACACTGCTATTTGGTATGACTGGAAGGTTTTATTTTGGGGAATTTGGAAAGTCTATGGCCATTACTTCATACAAAAAATATTTTATGCATTTCAAGATGCAAAAAAAAAAAAAAAATAACCTATCAAACCATACCAAGTAGGGAAATTCTTTTTGGATATCTGGGCAAAAGGTGGGCCGGTTTTATCAAGACAGGCAAAGTAGCTCAACATTATGCTATTTCTATCCACCCTCTTCCACCCTAAATATCTTAGCTGAAGACTTTGTTTTTAAAATGCAATGAATTATTGCATTCCTATGCTACATTTTTCTATTGTCATCCTTGCCACTGGATAATAATTGTAATGAGTATTTTTTAATTCAAATTGTCACTTTTCCCCATTAATTAGTCTACAAAATTCACCATATAAAACATAGGGGGGGCTAAAATGTGTATAAACCCAAGTAGGTTTAAAAAGGGATCCCACTGGAATTTAATTTTATTCTGGCTGGAAATTAATAAAGTACTGTGATTTTATTAACAGTATTTGAAAAACAAGCTGAGTATTTGCTGTATATCATCATTATAAGGTAGTCACTAAGTTTCTCAGATACTTAACACAGAGGTGCATTAAATAAAGTCTCACAAAAAAACGTCTTTCATAAATTTTATTCTTCATATTTGGGTAAGGACACAAATTCCAGACCATGTCTGTGAAATTATGGTGATCCCACTGTGCTAGAGATGGAGGCTGCAGGTTGGCCAAGAAATCAAAAGACAAGAAAAATCAGGAGCAGCACATGCTGTTGCTTCTTATTCTAGGACATCCAGAAGGTGCCTTCAGTAAGTGCTGCTCCAATTGTCTCCGTAAATCAATGTCAGAGAAACCTAAATGTTTTCTATTCATTTATGAAATCACTCAATTGGCAAGCAAAACATTTTGTATAATCTATTTCTAAATACATGGGAAATAAAGGAAGACTGCAACAAAATAAACCCATGCTATCTTAATTCTAATGTCTAGCTATAAAAACATATGCTATCTGAAACTTTTGTGAATCAGCAGAAGCTGGGGATCATTCCCTTTTTCATTCCCATTTTTACAAGTCTTTTTGCTTGGTTAGCTAGAGATGTTTTTCAGATTTCAAAAGAACAATATTTATTGTCCTCTTTGTGCCCCTAAGCCATTAATAAATATATACATTCAGCTTCTTTCTAAATGTTCCAGTTAAAACAATGAAAAAACATGGGAAACAATATCTTAGACACCCTTTTGTCATTAGAACAACAAAAATTGTGTAATATAAACAGAACTCAAGGTTTGTTTTATTTTTTCGTTTTTCAACAAGACTGTCAAGATTACGGGTTACATAGCTTTAGCCTCCTTAAAGAAGGTAACATTGTTTGCAACGAATACCTTCCTCAAGAAAACACATTACTGTTTCAAAAACTTACAAAAATTTGACAAAATAGTCTACTCAACAGCTATCTTTGTATTTGTAAACAAAATATAAACTGGTTTATCCAGTTTTCACTGCACATCAAACAGGCGGCCAAATGACAAAAATCACCTTTGATTTTACACACAAAACTCATTTATATCCCACCTATTATCATCATAGGGAATATTTTTGGAGGATGCCAGAGGGGATTAAAACAGCCCAATGCATGACATAATCCACATTAACAGTCTTCTTTTATTCACATTGCCTTGATACTGTACAATTACCTTTTTCCTACTGAACAACAGAGTTGTTACCATACAATCCACACTTGTTTTATTTTCTTTTATTCCCCTAAAGAAGTATGTGTGAACCACTTTTAGTCAATTTCAGTGACCCCACTTGAAAATTCAGACATCATAATAGGAGGGCAGTTTCTTTCTATTTCTGAGGCCTTCCCTCTGTAACATCAGAGATGTTAAGAGTTTGGCCTCCACATGCATGCTGCCACAGATAGCTCAAAGTATGTGCAGCCCCTATTTCAAGAACACAAATAGAAAGGAGGTTTGGATGTGGGCAAATTGCAACTGGATTTCTGTGGCAGCCCTCTCACGAGCTCAGATTTATTCCTTGACTTTACTGATATACTCGGTGAATTTGGTGATGTTTTCTTCCTGCTGTTCTAGGGCATCCAGAACAATGCCCATTGGCGTCCTCTTCAAACCTATTACCTCCATTTTATTCTCCAGTTTATTCTTGAGGTTTCGAAGTCTCAACGAAGCATGGATGAACATCACTGTAGAGAAGTGAAATATGGTTAGTACCAAAGGAACGAGTATCTCTCCAAATCAACATCATACTTCCTCTCTTCACACTATCAGTAGCTGCCTCAGTTAGCTACAGACCAATTGGTTCTATAATCAAGCTAAATCTTCAAGTGGATTCTTGAAGGTCTTTGTTAAGTCTCACATAAAGTTTTCTTTCTGTGTCAAAGAAAATATTGTATTCAGCAGGGCAAACTATAACCAGGCAGCAACGATCACTTAACACATTGATATCTTTACAAGTGCTACTTAAATGTCCTGATACTCCATGCAAATCAATGTCATTTGAACCTACTACAAACTGACTTGCAGAGTTTTTCAGAAAAGAATTCTTGCTCAATTTGGGGATTATATGTATTGTGAACCCTGCCAGAGGCCTGAGGGTACCAGGTGCCTCTGAGACACAGTGTTTCAAAGTGTTGGATACAGATGAAGAGACACAAATGTAAAGGTTCTATAGCCCAGTGTTCCCCCAAATCTGCTTCACCATTAAGAATTGTCTGTGTATGTTTATTTAGAAAGATTCCCTGGCCCCTCTCCAGGCTCTCCTGAACCAGAACTTTAAAGGGATAAATCTGGGATTCTATATTTTAAATAAGAACCACAGGTAATCTATGCCAGCAATTTTCAAACTTTAGATACAAAACCCAGAGAGCCTGTTAAATAGGCAAATGTCCCATCTGCACAACCCAAAATTTAGATTACAGTAAGGCTCCAGAATGTAAAATTTCCATTAATCACTCTGGGTGATTCTCATCCTGAAAAACACTGATATGCATACTACCTGGAAACGTCCAACCTACACTGGCCATTAGAAACATCTGAGGAGCTTTCTAAAACTACAGGTTGTTTGGGCTGCACTGTGGATCCACAAAATCAAGCCCTCCAAGGGGTGTGGCTGGAAATTCATATTTTTAATAAGTGTCCTGGATGATTCCCACAATCATCAAAGTTTGAGAATCAGTGATCTTGCCTAATTATTTTATAGATGAGTGAACTATAGACCATATAGGAAAATGGATACAAATCACATGACAGTTTCCAGCAGGTCCAGGAAAAGAAACCAAGCCCTTTGGATCTCTACCTATGTTACATTTCATTACACTGGCCTATCTCAGGCTCTGATGTGACAGTTACTAAAGCTAATGGAGCTGTATGTTTATGCAAAAATCACTGAAATACCAAGACTCTAGTGCATAAGAATGTTTTAAAAAGTCTGAATCTGTTTATTGAAATATTTTGTCCATAAGATGTGGTATTCCTCCATATTCTGAGCTTACTCTAACCAAACAGCTGATTTTATTTAAGGCATAAGTGAACATGTGAAATATTATTAAAAGTTAAAGGGATGTTCCAGTTACTTAATTCACTAGAATTTTTATCTGATTTCTGTTGATACAACTGAACTTTTACCTGTTCCTTATTTCAGGCTTCAAGTGTTTGGGATCTCAGCAAACAATGCATGTTAAAAAAAATCGAATTCTCTCAATAAGAATCAGTCATTGGTATTTATATATTCTGGGCTAATTATTCCTACAGACTTACAAAACTTTTGGAACTAATTAAGATCTTTTGCATAATGGAGAGTTAATAGTTTACTTCCAAACTAAAGTATTACCATTGTTGCTATATCAGGATGGTATGAAGGGCAATCTGTTAAAGATTGACAAGAGACTCTAACATGAGGCAAATGTGGAGCCCAATGAAGACTGCCATTTTCTTGCCATATGACTTGAGATTTGTTTTTGTTTTGTTTACTTTGTGTCCCCAGAGGAGCGTCTGGCAAGAACAGGTGCCCACTACACATGTGGGGAATTCACGGACATGAAGCCTGAGTCTTATGTTTCAGAAAACTCTAACAATTTTGTAGACATGTCAACCAATACACATAAACAAGTTCTGTGATGGGATAAATATGGGATTCTATATTTTAAATAAGAACCACAGGTAATCTATGCTAGCAATTTTCAAACGTTATATACAAATCACCCAGAGAGCCTGTTAAATAGGCAAATGTCCCATCTGCACAACCCAAAATGCACAACTCCCACCAAACTGGCCCATCGAACAACTGCACATACATATTTTGTGCTATAAGAAAAGGAGACTGGGCCTCCCCTGGTGGTGCAGTGGTTGAGCGCTGGGTTGCAAGGCTGCCCGCAGCCTCTGAAGCGCCAGTTCGATCCCTGGCCACCGCTGAGGGTCCCACAAGAAAAAAAAAAAGAAAGAAAAAGGAAGACTCAGGTTCACATACGCAGGCACTACTAATTCCCTTCTCTAATGAAGAAACTCAGGCACAGAGATTAGCAAATGATAGAGCTAAGATTCTCACGTCGGCAGTTTGACTCCCACCAAACTGGTCATTGAACAACTGCACCTACATATTTTGTGCTGTAAGAAAAGGAAGACTCAGGTTCACTTACGCAGCAAGGGAAATGTGATGCCAAACACAAAGACCATGACTCCCCCAAACAAGGATATAAGGAAGTAGCTGGCCAGCATGACCACCATGACAAAGGTTGTGGGGTACTGCTTCTTCATCCGCCGGAGGATATCTTTATTGTGGGCTGCCCACACAAAGCCCGTGAACACCAGCACCACCACAATTCCTCCAAGGATCATATTGAAGGGGCTCAGGAACCTGGAACATGAAAAAAGGAGAGAGACTAGGTCATCAGTAGTAATAGCAGGAGGAAGAAGGTGAGGAAGGGGGTAAAAACAAGTACAGAGAAACAGGGCTGCCCTCTCTTCCGAAATTTCATATTAAAACACTTCACTTTCATGAAAGACCTACCTTCGTACCTTTTGTTGCTGTTGCTAAACCAAAATAAATCTTTCAAGACAAAAGCCAAAAATACAAAACTGGAGGTCAGCATTGATTTGGGAGCAGCTAATCTGGAGACATTAGCACCCCAAACAGCAAGTAGGGGCCCTGCCAGACCTCTCGGAAACTACCCAGAACATGTTTTCATCACAGCACCTCTGCTTTTACCATATGCTAATGTTAGCGAAGTTATGTGTGTTATTTGCTATGATTTTGGGGGTCCAGCAAGGCTAAAAAATGTTTCCATGGGAATCCATGGTACTTGCTTCATCACTTTCTGCTATTTGGCTTATGAAAGGTTTCACTAGAGACAGTACTTTCAGACAACAAGGGAAACATTTGTATCTAAACTGTCTCTTTTAATCCTCATCAAGGCACCTAATTCCCTTCTCCAATGAAGAAACTCAGGCACAGAGATGAGCAAATGGTAGAGCTAAGATTCTCAAGTCGGCAGTTTGACTCCCACCAAACTGGACCATCCAGCTCACAAGCAGCCCACAACTTTAAGACTGCAGCCTATTTCGGAGGGTTGTGTTTAGCCTGCATGCATCCTCATTATAATAATCCACATTAGGTTTTATTTTCTTAGTTCTTAGAGCTTATTTAACTTCTCATAGAAGCTGCCACAATAGATGAACATAGAGTAGAAGTCATACAACACCTTCTATGGGTGAGAGCCAGCCTCCAGTCACACTGTTTCATAAGACTTTCTCTTGAATCCCAGTATGGTTTTTTTGTTTTGTTTTTATATATTTTTAATTTTTTACATCATTGTTCATTATTAAACAATATATGCTTCCCCCCCCCACCCCTTCAGGAGTAGTTCCCATAGAGTTTCCTTCACCAACGCACCCGTGCACCATCACCTCAGTTCCCTGTGCTCCTCCCTCCCTCCCTCTGATCCCTCTCCCTCCTCCTCCCCTGCAGGATGTCTCTGGTTTATAATTGTCTGGTTTTGCTTTGTTGTGTTTTGTACTGGTATTATTTTTTTACACTGATGTCTTATTTGGTTCCCCTATATTCCTGCTATAAGTGAAACCATCCAATATTTTTCTTTTTCCTTCTGGCCTATTTCACTGAGCATAATTCCTTCTAGTTCCATCCACATTGCTACGAATGGCATGAGTTTATCTTTTCTGATTGCTGAGTAATATTCCATTGTATATATATATGCCACATCTTCTTGATCCAGTCATCTATTTTTGGGCATTTGGGTTATTTCCAGGTTTTACCTATTGCAAATAGTGCTGCAATAAACATAGGTGTACAGGTGTTCTTTTGAATAAATGTCTCTGTGTCCTTTAGGTAGATCCCTAGGAGTGGAATTGCCGGTTCATATGGTAGCTCCATTTTCAGTAGACTGAGGAACCTCCAGACAGCTTTCCACAGTGGCTGGACCAGTTTGCACTCCCACCAGCAATGTAGGAGAGTTCCCTTTTCACCACATCCTCGCCAACATTTGCTGTTGCTTGTTTTTTTGATATGTGCCATTCTTACTGATATAAGGTGGTATCTCAATGTGGTTTTAATTTGCATTTCCCTGATTATAAGGAATGTTGAACATTTTTTCATATGCCTGTTGGCCATTTGCATTTCCTCTTTGGAGAAAAATATCTTTTAAGTTCTTCTTTCCATTTCCTGACTGGATTGTTTATTTTGTTTTTGTTGAGTCATGTGAGTTCTTTGTATATCTTTGTGATCAGTCCCTTATCAGTTGACTGGAGTGCAAAGATTTTTTCCCAATCAGTGGAATCCCAATGTTTTTTAAAAATATCTATAATACTTGAGATTTCATGATTCTCCAGGAAACATTCACCTTCCCACATGTCAATAGCTGGCTGGCACAACTGCTCATTCAGATAACACAAATACTCCCCATTTAGTCCTAGTTCCCACAATATCTCTGACATGAGGTCCCAGTGCGGGGGGGGGGGGGTGGGGGGGGCTGCCATTAATCACTGTTACTAGCAGTTGACTTGCACAGCTCTCTTACAGGGCCAGGCTGGCCCATGCAGGCACTTGAGTTTAGGATTCCTAGCATAGAGTCCATTATAACTCCTTAAAAGGATATCAACGTATCATTAAGAGAGGGGTTACTAACAGATTTACAAGCAAATAGCCTCCAGATTCACTGATGCATGAGCCAAAGATTACACTACTGTTGATAAAGGGGGAGACATTAGGAAGAGGAAACTTAGACCCAGTGCTCCCCTACGCTGACCCACTGTGTAGTCAGTATGTACAATGAGTAATCAACTTTTTACCCTCACAAGAGGCTAACAAGCATTTTCATGGGAAGGACAAAGAGGATCAATATGTTTTCACCATGTTCTGAATATCAACATGACTTCTTTGGAAATGAGGGAGAGGGAAGACCAGATAATGGAAGGTGATGCCAAGAACTAACTTTCTCTGAAATAGAACAGATGAAAGATTCATAGTCATGTCAGGATTCATATTTAGGATCGTTAAGATTCTTTTTAAAAAATCCCTTTAAATTTTAGCTCCAATTCTGCCTTTTGAAACATAAAGGCTATTTTAAAAGGTTTTTCAATAGGAGTGAAAGTACTGCATACAACATGGGTAAAAATCAGATAATGAATGTCAAACTGCTTTGAAGAAGTTAGAAAAAAATTCTATTAGAAGGCAAGAAATTAGACAGTGGTAACAGTAGTAGCACATAATTTAAAATTAAGCCCTACAGGGCCTCCCCGGTGGCGCAGCGGTTGAGCACTGGGTTGCGAAGCTGCCTGTGGCCTCTGCGGCGCTGGTTCGATCCCCGGCTGCTCCCCGGCCACCAGAGGAGGGTCCCACATGGCGAGCAGACCTCTCCTGCCGCCCGCTGCTCCCCTCAGCAGTGTACTTCGGTCCTTCTGCCTGCTCTGCTCCCCGCTCTGGCTCTGGTGGATTCTCTCACCCTCCCGTGCTTCTGACTGTACCCAGTGCATGTATAAACAAAACAAACAAACAAATAAATAAATAAACATGCCTCTATAAAAAAATAAAAATAAAATAAAATTAAGCCCTACAATCCTAAATTGTTTATTTCATTCAAAGCTTTTACAAATACTTACACCCTTCAAGGCAATAAAGTCTCTTCCTTGGAATAAAGTCTAATGAGATAAATAAAAGTGCAAAGACTGAGTTGTAACAGCTTTTAGAGACAATCCATATGGCCAACACTACACTAGCTGTGATATATTCAGGTAGTTTTTTTTTTTTTTTTTTTTCCCAATACAAGCACTGGGTACAGTCAGAAGCGCGGGAGGGTGAGAGATTCACCAGAGCCAGAGCAGGAAGCAGAACAGGCAGACTGACAAAATACACTACTGAGGGGAGCAGCGGGCGGCAGGAGAGGTCTGCATGCCATGTGGGACCCTCGCTGGTGGCTGGGGATGGAACCAGCACTGCAGAGGCTGCGGGCAGCTTCACAACCCAGTGCTCAACCACTGTGCCACCGGGGAGGCCCTATAGTCAGGTGTTTTTAAAAAGCTAAACTATATTTAATAATATGGGAAGACAATGATTGAATAGGCAGAAGCAACTATAACCCATTCTCTCTGTTAGGTGGATTTACATGTTATATAGATCAAAAGTAGGAATTTTTATAAGTAGTGTAGTGAAATGAACAATTAAAAATATCAGAGGAACTGCTGCTCAGGCTCCCAGCCCAGGCTTGCATACTCCAGCTACAACAGGTCATCCTTGTCTCATCTCTCTAATAACATTAAGGTGATTTCAAATCACCCATGACAGCAAAGCTGCTTTTGCTCCCATCTAAACCCTGCTTTCCTCTCTATTCTCCCGAGCCTCTTGTAGCCAATCTGAGCAACCCACTCTAACCATTTCCACCATCCAGCAGGCATGCTATTTTCTCTAATCTTTCTCTTCTTTATTACCTGGGTTTCCTTAGTTTTGCTATACTTTTTTTCTTCTCAAAAGCTTTATCTAGACTGTACCCACCCTATCTTCTAATTTAATACTAGAACTGGTCTTGGAAAGATGAAAATTTCCTCTCAGGCCTGGGGAAAGGGAGAATTGGACAGGGCAAAACAGCATCTTCTTTACCAGGTGGTGGGGAGGTCCAGAAACTCTAACAGATCAATAAATCACATTTCTAGCACCAAAAATATCTGAGCGAAATTATAACAAGAGACTAATAAGTTTTACCAGAAAGTAGGACGATGCGTAGTTTATTCCCATTTATTTATTCTATTTTCATATTTTTTTCAATAGCCACAAATTCCTTGAGTAACAAAAACATATATTTAAAAATGAAACTGGAGGGGCCTCCCCTGGTGGCCCAGTGGTTGAGCGCTGGGCTGCGAAGCTGCCCACAGCCTCTGTAGCGCTGGTCTGATCCCGGGCCACCAGCAAGGGTCCCACATGGCTCACAGACCTCTCCTGCCGCCCGCTGCTCCTCGCAGCAGTGTACTTCGGCCCTTCTGCCTGTTCTGCTCCCCGCTCTGGCTCTGGTGAATTCTCTCACCCTCCCGCGCTCCTGACTGTACCCAGTGCTTGTATAAATAAATAAATAAATCTTTAAAAACAAATAAATAAATAAATAAAAAATGAAACTGGAGACAGGTACCTACAAGGAACAAACCCTTTCACATAGTCTTGACATTGACCTATAACCCATCCAAGTATTTCTGAGATGCAAAGAAATTCAAAGATCAAAACTAAGTCAAAGAGCTAGAGTAGAGTGTTAAAGTTTAAGGAATCTCCTCTGCATAAGGTGCAAACAGGAGATGGTTGGTTGGTAGCAAAGTCTCCAAGATCTCCTACTAAATGCTTCCTAGATATCCTATTAAAAT